TCATTGGTCAATTACTATTCATGTAATAAAAATTCATAAAAAATTTTATAACATTGTTAAGTTAAGATTTTCATTACTATATAAAAAATAATTTTTATATTTCTAAAATTTTTTTATAATTACTTTGTATAATTATAAATATTATATTTAAATTCTTCTATTTTTATAAAAAATTCTATCTTGTAGTTAAAATTATTGCAAATTTTTATACTTCTAATAATTTTTTTTTAAAATAATTTGAGTGAACAAAAAAAATTTTCTTCTTCTTGATATTGAAATTTAGTTTAGTATAGATATTTTAGAAGCAAAAAGTTTTTTAAAATAAAACAGGTAAATTTAAAAATTGTTCTAGATTAGAAGCTTTAATTATATAAATTATGTATTAATATAGACTTATTCTGAATTAAAAGCTTTGATTATATAAAATATGTATTAATACAAATTTATTTTGAACTTTAAATATATATAATCTATGCTATTTTCTAAAATAAGGATAATAATTTATTCAATCTTATTTAGTTTGATTATATATATTAATATTTTTATATTAAATTACAAACTTTTATTCAAAAAATTTAATGAGAAATTCAAGAAGTTCAAAAAGATATTCAGTAAGAAGATATTTAAGAAGATTTATGACTAAGAATTTTGATCTTAGAGAATTAATTATCATCTTTTTTAAATCAAATTGCTAATTTTTTTCTTAAGTTTGAAAAAGAAACTAATTGAACTTTTTTTTCTTTATTTTAGAAAAAGAATAGAAATTAAGAATTTCAAAAAGATTATTAAAGTTTAATGAAGGTTTTTAATTTATTTATCAAAAAATAATAATTTTAAGATCCTATATATTGATTTTAGTTTTTGATATTATTTAATTATAATGTAATAAAGTTTTAATTTTAATCAAAAAAATTTATAGAGTCTGATTTTTTTTAATAAACTTCTTATATAATATTAGATAATCTTTTAATTGTATCAAATTATGATCAATAATAATTTGTGTTTGCCTATTTTTTTATTTTTTCTATATTTTTTATATATTCTATTTATTCTATTTTATCTGTAATTTTTTAATATCTATAAATTATTTTATTTCTTTTAATTATTTTTATAATTTATTTATTTTATCATTTTATTATATTTAAGTATATTTTTATTAGAATATATATTTATATTTAATTAATTTATAATGTAACAAGTAGTTAGTTATAACAAATTAATTTTATATAAATAAAATAACTTTTTACTTAAATTGTAAATTAACTTTAAAAATTTACTTGTAAGTTTTATATAAATTTCAAGTTATTAATAAAGGAATTAATTTAAATTTACACAAATTACTTTATTCTTTAATATTATTTCTTATTTAAAATTTGTTATATTATTTTATATTAACTTACTTTTGAATTTGTTATTATAAGATCAATTAATTAAATCTTAAATTTAAGATTAAAGATGATGCTATAATTAATTACAACTATATGATAATTATTTATTATTGATTACAATTAGTTATGATTTAATTTTTATTAATATTACAATTAATTGTAACTTTATGATGCTTATTTATTATCAGTTACAACTATTTGCAATATCATTTTTATTTAAGACATAATAAATTGCTGAATTAATTTAAGTATAACAAATACCTATAGAATTTAAAGAATATTTTAAAATTGTAAACTTTAATGAGTAGAATTGATTTTTATAATCTTTTAACTTAAATATTAAGATATGTAAAAATGAATCCAATAATACTAGTATATAAAATATGCTAGTTATGCTAGAAATACTAAGTATATCAGATTTGTTGATTATCTGTATTATATATATTAAATATATTTATTATATTAATAATGTTAACTATATTAATTATTGTGTGTATGTGTGTGTATGATGTAAATATTTATATTACATTACATAAATCAGTCATATTATAATAGTCCAGTTATAATAATAAAAGAATGCTAATATAAACTAACAAGTGATTAACAAAAAAAGTAATAAAAAAGACATTAAAGTAAGCTAACATTCTATCACAATATAATCTATATAGGTATATTGCATTTAAATTATTAATATGTATTTAAGAAAACTATAGCAATCTGATACACTAATATAATTATAAAAAATCTTTAAAGTAGTAGAACTAGTAGCACATTATAATCTGGTTAACTAATATATGTCCAAGTGAACTATAATATTCTGATACATTATAATCTGGTTGATTAATATGTATCTAAAGTGATTATAATATTCTGATATATTATAATTTAATCAAATTATATATCCAAATAGATTATAATGATCTGATCTATTATATTATATTAATGTATTAATATGCTAATTAATTAATTTGATGTATTTCTAATATTAAATATAGAATGTTTAATTAATATTAAGAAAATTAGCATTTTCTCTTTTATTAAATATTAAAGAAACCTTTATTTGATCTAAATTAAACTTCATCTAATTTCCTAATTTTACTTTAATATGTAAAATTTAAGAATAATAAATAGGATCTTAATAATTTCTGTTTTAAAAATATTTAATTGCAATAATATAATGATTATATAATAAATAATAAATAATTTTAATAATTTTTCAATATTTTATTTGTATCTAAAAATACATTTTAGTGATGATGATTATGTCGTTTTAAATCGTTAAAAATCGTTTTAGATTTAACGAAAGTTGAAAGAATAATGACTTTAAAATCTGTTAGTATAATATTACCTATTTAGTTAAACAAAATAACGGGACCTATGTTATTGTTTCCCGAATAGGAAGGAAATAAAAGATAATAAATAAAATTTTAATGATTGTTTCCTTAATTGGAAGTAAACGGAATAAATCTGGCAACATTAAATTTAGTCGGTTAGGTAAAATAAATATCCTATTTCAGGAACATCAAGAGACCCTAGTTTTAAAAAGAATGTGAAAACTGTGGTCACGTGATTAAACCTTCCCGATAAGTAACCCATGGTTATACGAAAACTCTTTGGCAGTACATCAAAAGTTCGAAGATTCGGCTGAAAGTTGTTTTCGTGTTACTTCTCGCTGTTAACTTTTAACAATCAAACAATATGAAAAATTTTGATCGACAAATTAAGCAAACAATATTCAAGGAATTCGTAAAGAAATTTTTTTATTATAAATAAAACAAAATATTCATCTCGTTTGAATTTTAACTATCTCTATCCTCAACAACATAAAGTTACTTTCTTTTCATTTGCGCAGGAACGCAAAAAAAAAAAAAAAAAAAATGTATAAAATGATTAAAACCCCATCCATAGCTTCTTCGGTTCAGTCCCCACCATTATTTACCAGAATCCTAAAAAGTCTATTTATCTCGCCACATAAGAATGAGATTAAAAATAATATAAACCAACATAAATATAAGTTATATTTAGTCGAAAAAAATCATCCCAATGCAAAGAATTTAGTATTATGCAGATTCATTTGTGCGGTATTTGATCGACTACTCAAGAGCAATGACATTACCTGTAATGAGGGGATTAAATTGGGGGTTGATGATATACTTGATTTGTTACAAAAAGAGTCTAAAACCTACGATAGCGATGAACAAGAGGAATTTGCTGTTTGGGAAGTTTTGAACTCCAGCTTGTTACAGCTTAGGCGTGAATTATGGAAAGATGGAAAGTTCGTGTAACCATAAATCCAAGCTTGTTCTTTACCGAATTTACTTTCGCTCTTTAAAAAATGATAATTGGCGTTGATTAAACGAAGAGGGAAATTCCCGAGCACTTTTAAAATCAATCTATCCTATATTATATAACATATCTTTTATCTAAAAATCTAAATATTGTATAAATAGGTAGCACGAAAAAATAAAGTTTAATCATCTATTTTATTAAATTTATTGGTCGTGACAAATATAAATGTATTAAATCTTTTAAATAAAATAACACAATTCCAATTATTCAAGAAGTTTTTCCGACATATTTTTTCTCTTTAGGACCGAATAAATTTCTTGATGAAGTATAATTTTCCAAAATTTTGTGTGTTTCGTTACTAACATTCAAAAGAATGAGTCGATTTTCTTTTATATCTTAATTCAATTGAACTATACTCGAAATACACGATCCTTTTGTGCAATAAATTGAGCGGTTTAATGAACCATTTTTATTATAGATTGATAGATAAGTATTTATCACAACAATCCAATTCAAATACTTATATACTATTGTTGTGTGTGGAAAATATATTCTAATGCACATTTGCCACAGCAAAGTCGAAAAGGAAAAAAATAAATAATTTCTATAATGTAAGCTTGCATATTTTCATCCGCTTTTGCATTCGTGTATATATATATATAAATCATATTAAACGCCAAAATTTCACAATAAAATAATTACTTTTATTTTTATTAGTATAAATTTACTCATTGGAATGATGTGAAACAAGGGTACTAACAATTAAAGTATCGTATTAATTGTTTTCGTTTCACGGGTCTTTGACCGTGTGACTATACGAAGTTCCATTTTCAACGATAGAAAACCCCAAATTTTATCAAAAAAAAAAGGGTTCTCTTTAAACATTCCTTTTCTTTCTATTTTCTTGAAAAATTCAGGTTTATCACAAAAATCTTCCTGCCGCGCGTCAATCCGGAAAAACCAACAGAACCAATTTCATTTGACTTTTTTTTTTATTGTAACCATCATTTTATCCATTTTGAGCAACAAAAACTTTTCTGCGCCTTATATTAATGTTATAAAAATGTTGTTGGTTCATTTTTTTTAGGTTGGTTTTTTCGTCAAAATTTTATTTTTTCTTCAGAATAAACCCTAATAAGGTTATGAGTGGGTCAACTTTTTTGAAAAAATTTACTTAAAAATCAACCTCCTCTCATTTGCTTCCATCTTCTTCAATTTCCTTCAACGAATTTCTATCGATTCAATTCATTTCCTAAAACACCGACAACAAAATATCAATCTTCTTTAATGAACTCACAAGTTGACCCACAACGACCGAACATAATGACCATTTTACCATCCGAAATATTCGTTGAAATTTGTCGATTTCTTTCCCCTTGGGAATTAGACTCTGTTTCATTCGTTTGCCGTAAATTCCGTGTATTATTAACTTGTCCCAGTTCCCTCACGACCATGCATATATGGCGTACGTCCAGGAAAAGTACGATATTCTTTCCACAGCTACCCCTACCCGAAGGTATAAACGAAAGGGATTATTGTTTAATCTCCATGTTGGAAAGGGGTTGTCAATTTTGCTCGGACAAATTGGATTACGTAAGGATATATTGGATTTTTCGCGTTCGGTCCTGCTGGGCCTGTTTGATGATTCGAACTAAGCGTATATCACAGTAAGATAATCTAATTTACTTAGTATTATGTCTCTTTAACAATGTGTATGTGTAACTGATTATGTTTTTGTTGTCGTTGTAGGAGGGAATCAGTCCCCGATTTCGCGGCTGGATTGCCATTTGCAACCATTCGTGAAGAAGGAATGTTTGGATATGAATGTAAGGCATTTTGGAAGTCTGACTTCGAGTTGGCTGAAGTTGAATTTTCGAATATAAAAAAATCGGAACGGATGAAGTGGATCGAGGAAAAGCGAGCCAATCGCGAACATCTATTAACGGACGCCTTAGAACGTGATAATGCTGAAAAAAAATTTCGAGAGATATCCAACCTTGCGAAATTTGAGAAAGTCAGATCATTTGGTTTTAAATTGATGCAGGATGTTTGTTGTAATTTTAATAAAATAAGGTTATGTCCTACATTTAATGAAACGATCGCTCTTCCAGACCATTTATTTGCAAAGGTTACATTTCAAACGTGGCGAGATAAAATAATTAAAGAATACCACGAGAACGAAAAAGAGTATTCAATTCGTGTGAGATATAACCAAATCAACGAAAGACTATTTTATACGCTCGGATCATTAATCGTTTGGAAGGAACATTGCGCGACATATAAGTCGCCACCTTACGTTGACCATGATCCAAGAAAACCATGGAGTGAAGAATTTTTAGACAATATAATCGTACCAAGGATATTAACGGAAGCAATTGAATGTGAAAAAAAAGCGAGATGTGCAAAGAAAGCATTGCAATCAGTCGAAAGTTTAATTTTTGAAAATGTTAAATCAGCTATTTCATTTGGATTAGGAGGAGAGAACATAGAATTAAGTAATAGTAATAATAATAAAGGATTAGAGATTTTTAGGTGTAAAATATGCGAGAAAAATTCCAATCATTTATTATATTTTTATCTTAACATTAAAAAACATTTACATAAACGACATAATAGTTTAGATTTAGAATATATCGAATTAGATTATAATATAATGCATAAACATTTCGTGAATTTTTCTAATAATTGGTTTAAAACGGGTGTTTATCCGTATAATTTATCGGATGAATATATGAAAATTTTAAAAGATCATCATATGCCCTGGTGGGATTAAAAAAAATTATTTTTAAGTTACATTTTATACTGTATAATATAATACTAATATGATATGAAGATTAATATGTTTTTGGAGGAATAAGAAATAAAAAATAATTATGAATATTTACTTTTCTGATGTTTTGAATTTGAACAAAACGCGTTATTGCGACGTGATTGATGAACATAATTTGATTATACTTTAAAAAACGCAGCGTTCTGAAACAAATTTTACCTGCGGAATCATGTGACTTTATACCGGTAATTTTACACATTTTATTTCCAAGTTCCCATTTTTTAGGGCGAAGCTATTTTGTGAAAATATATTCTTTTCATGTGATTATCATAATGATATCGAAAAACTGGTACCAGATATATCATAATAACAACAACTAGGATCACAAAAAAATTTAGCGTGAGAAATATTAGACCGCTTTTTTATTATAAAAAATTATAAAAAATTTTATTTTATTTTATATTTTTATCATCCAATCAAATTTTTATTCACTGCGAATGGATTCGAGAAAAATAGTTTACGCTTAATTCTAAATGCCTTCATGAATGAGTATTTGATGAAATTAATGTTAATTAAATGTTCCTATAATAAATAAACCTAAAGTAAAATTATGAGACTATATGATGTTTACATGAAATTTTAAAAAGAATTCAAAGTATGAAAAATTTTTAATCTACGTGTTTGAAATAAAATATTCTGATTTTTTTTTAATTATAACTTTGCTATACAAAATTTTTCTATATAATTCACGGTCAGTTTTTTGTTCGAAGAAATTTATAAACGGTTTCTTTCATTTTGCCCAAATCCGTCAAGATGTTTTCGATTAATCTTCTCTGATCTTTTAATTTGGTTTCTCGACACATATATAATAATTTTGGATGTGAATAAAACATATCGGAAATTCGACCTTCAGGATGTCCCGTTCCTTTTTCCCAGTATTCTAAATCCGTTAAACATATTTTTATCAGTACATAAAGTGTTGCCCAATGATAAGGTTTAGTGATTTGCTTATGTGTTGAGTTATCATCAAAAGATTTATGAATTGGGGAGAAGGTTACGGTATGGGAAGATTTGGGATGTGAAGCTGTTGGGGTGTGAGGTGTGGTCGGTGATATGGGAGATCTTGGAGTCGTTGGTGTAAGACTGGGCGTCCTGGTGGCTCTAAAAGAATCCGATGACAAAGAAGTTGTTCTTTTTGGTATTGAGGTTATAATTGAAAATTGTTGACTTATTGAATGTATTAAATCGTTTAAATGAATTTGTATTTCTTTGGCTGGACGATCACAAATCAAACTCGAAGAAAGTTTTATTGCTTTTCCTAGTGGAGGAAAATTTGAAAATGAATCACGACTTTCAAATGATGACATTGGTTTTTTTTAATAAAAAATTTGACAAAATGTTTTGAAGTATTTTTTTTAAAAAAAAAACGGGTTATTGGTTTACTTGGTTTACTTATATTAAGAATTTTTCTACCAAAAAAATTCCCAAACAATCGAGTGACACTTAATATAAATTCTTTCAATGTAAATAACAACGTTATTCATCGATTATTGTCATTTAAACAATAATTGATTTTTAATGGATTATACTTTTTAATTAGAAAGTGCTTCTGATTGGTGCTTCAAGATCTACTAAAACTGCCATATGAATGATGTAATCCGGCCGAACATTTCCGGATTTATTTGGTAAACAAATTATTTAAGAAAAATCAAGAGTTGATTGTGTGAATTTAGCTCATAAGGGATCATTTCTTTTTTATTAATAAACTTCATAAAAAAAAAAAAAACTTTTTTTTTAAATAAAAAACATTATTGTCTAGACCTGATGTCAGCCACATGGTAATCGAATTTTACCCCCAAAATACGTAATCATTACAAAATTCTATTGGGTATATCATATGACGAATAGAAAATCTTATTCATATATGGATGTGAAATATATATATATTAAGCTTTTTTAAAATTTTATTTTTTTATTTTTTTATTATAAAAAAATTTTTATAATATTAATATATAATTAAATACTTTTATAAAATATAATATAATATCATATTAATTTATTATAAACTTAATAAATTTATATTTAAATTTCATAATACTTAATAATTAAAATTATAATAAAAAGATATATTTTAATATTTTTAATAAAAATATTAACTTAATAACTATAAAATATATATAATTATTTTTAAGTTAATAATATAATTTTTATCAAATTTTAATATTAAATTATATTTAATAAATAATTTTTAATTTATTAAAATTAATTTTTAATTAACAAATAAAATTATAAGTAAATATAGTTTATTATAATATTAAAAGAAAAGTTTGTATAAAAGTTTGAATTAATTTCTTTTTTTATACTTAAAACTTATAAAAAATATTTTAAATTGCTAAAACTTAATTTTTTTTTAGCAAAAAGTAAAATAATTTATATAAAATTAGTTAAACTAATTAAATAAAAATATATATTATAATAAAAATATAAAAAATATAAATAATAAAATAATAAAAAAATTAAAAGAATTAATAAAACAGGTTATATAAAATTTATAAAAAAAATAAAAAAAAAAATAGAAAATTGTATAGATTATTAAAATCTAAAGTAATAACCTAATTTTTCTAATACAATATATTAATCAATTTGATATATTTTCTTTCTTAATCTATATTAAATAATAAAGATTATTGCTAAGTTTAAAATAATCTTAAAAAAAATTCTAAGATTTTTACACAATTACAAAAGTCAATTAGCATTATCTTAATATTGAATAGGTAGATAACCAAATGTTTATTATCTTGTATAGATATATATAATTTTTTACCTTATTTTAGATAATAAAATTAAATCAAATTTTTTATTTTTTATTTATATTTTTAAAGAAATTTTATTTTTATAAAACTTTATTTATTTTTATATATGAAAATTTTAAAAAATTAAGATAACTTAGCAAGTTATATTAAATATTATTAAAAAATATAATTAATATATATTTATTTATATCTTTAACTTTATTTTTAACGATAATAACATACCTTTAATTTTAATTTAAAAAAAGAATAATTATTTGAATAAATTTATTTTGTATTTAATAATCTTTAATATGTATAAAAGATATTTTTTTTTTGATAACTATACTTTTAATCAATGTTATTATAAAACATATTTAGGATTTAAATAGGATGTTAATAGTATAAATAGGATATTTAAAATATAATATAAAATATATTAGAATATAACTGGAATATTTAGCTAAAATAATAAATTTTTAGAATATTAAAATGTATATTATTATTTTTAATATCTTAATCTTATTTAAGAAAATTAACTATATATAAGTTTGTTTTAGTTAATATTACTCTTCTTTTTTAAAATTAATAGTAAATACAAATAATATATATTCTTATTTCTTTAAGTTAGAAAATTATAAGAAGCTTAAATAATTTTTGTTATTTTTTTTTTACTTTTTTATCTCTTTAATGGTATTGTAAATTTGCATGCAATTTTATTTAATAAATAAAATTATTTTTGATTATTTTAAATATTTTAAGTTTTTAAAATTTATATATCTTACTATTCATTAATTTAAATATATAAATATTATGATTTAATAAATCTTAATATGATGAATCCAATAAACAAAATTTTATATTTTTATGATTAATAAAAAATAAATTATTTTTAAAAAATTAAAAAATTAAAAAAATTAATATATATTGATAATTATTAATTTTAAAAATTTAAAAATATTACTAATAGATACATTAAATATGATAAATCTATTAAACTTTATTTTATTTTTTTTATAATCACTGATATTAAATGATTATAAGTTTTAAAATATTTTATATTTTAATAAAATTATAAAAAATTTTTTAAATATTTAGATAATATAAATTTAATTTAGCAATTTTAAATATTTATTATTATAATCTTAAAATATTAAATTACTAACGACTTAAGGCAATGAAATTAATTATGTAATATTTTGAGAGTGAGTAATTAAAAAGTTTTAATATATATAGTGTAATGTAAGACTATTATAAAATAAAAAGTAAGGGTATAAACTAATAATAAATAAATATTACATAATAAATATCACTGTTTATATATTTTGCTTAGATATTATTTTTTTATAATTTTTATAATTTTTTTTACTAATATTTTCAAATGATGTTTTATGTCTTTAATCTATTGATTTTATGAAATTAAATTATATATATATAGTTTTATAAATAATAGAAGATTCTAAAAGGATATCATCAATTAATAAAAAGATTTTTGTAATTTTATATAGATATATAATTAGTTATTTTTATAGTTTTCACTTTTTTTCAACTTTCTTTTTCCTTTCTTTTTTTTCTTATGTTTAGATATTACTTTTTAATTATATTATAAGTTTTTAGTTTTAGTTTAAGATTCTTAATTTTTTTCTTTATAAATTTTTTTATTCTTTTATTAAAGTTATTAAAAAATAACATTAAGTAGTAAATAAAAAATACTACTAATATTATACTTAAATAGATTAAATATATTATAAAAGGTTTTATTATTTAAATTAATATTTTTGTATAATTATTATTAATAAAATAATTTATTAGAATTATTATAAAAAAATAAAACTAAAAATTTATCTAAAAAAAAAAAAAAAACTCAGTTATTTTTTTTTTTTATATCAAAAAATTTAAAAACTTTTGATTTTAAATTAATATAAAAATTTAAAATTAATATAAGTTTACATCAAAAAATAGATTTTATTTTTAATAAATAATTTTTAATAGATTTAAAATTGATTTTAATTAACAAATAAAATTAAAGACAAATGTAATAATAAGCATCATAAATATTTATTATTATATTTAAAGTAATATTATTAAATAAAAATTTAATTTGTAATTATCTATGATGTTGTCTATATTTTAACTTTTACTGATAAAAAAAAATACTTAATATAATTATATAAATATAGAACAAAAATTTGGTTTGGTAAAGGAATGGATAAA